GGAGAGGAGGCACAAATCAGTCAGCCTCTCCAGGATCCTCTTATACTGTCTCTTCTACAGACCGTTAAAATTGCAAATATCCAGCTCAGATGTGATTCCAGGGGATACATACCACAGATCAAACAAGTTAATTGAAGAAGAGACGAGAAGGGGACTTCACACGCCCTATCTCACGCAGGTCTGCACTGGTGTCCTCGACAAACGGGTCACCAGAAGAAAGAGGCACAGCACACCAAACTCTTTTGTTCCCGGGCTCCAACCGAAGATCGTCGTCGGACAGGTTCGCCACCCCTTCCTTCACACAATCATAATACAAACAAAAGCCTTGCTCGATGTCTTCCACCACTATAAACAAGCATAGATCTATCTATCTATCACTTTGCTACTACTCCATCTTGCGCGTGCGGGCACAGCGCCTACTGCAAAAGTGGACCCACGTCGTCAGAACTGGAGGGGAGTCTCGTAGTAGTATTCTTCGGTAGCCTTTGAATCATCGAAAAGAAAACACCTACAGGTGAGAATGATGAAGCACTGCAGCACTCACTCAACACAAAAACCCAATCAAACAACAAACGAGCCGCCAGAATAGAAAACTATACACACAATTATAGGAGTAGAAGAAGAAGGCACTTTTTGATTCTCCCCACCAAACAATGAATGGACGAGAAGAAGAACACCGAGCTAACTACGTCCAACAATGACGCCTACATCCCCGCACCGCGCCGTGGAAGCAGCACCACTCACCGACGACACATTTGCTATGCACAAACAGAACGATTACGTTCAAATATTCAGCACCACAGCGATATATATATATTATATATATATGCACACGACTTGTTAGTAGTAGAATAGAATAGAATAGTACGCACTAGTCCTTCCTTCCTTCCTCCACCAGCATGGGTGGGTGCCTCCTGTGCAACAGCTACTAACTAAGACACAGCAGCACAGGGTGGTGTATCCATCAGCTAAGATGGCCTCTTCCGAAATAAAAATGTCGCCCCTCCGTCCGTCCGTCTGCCTGCCTGCCTGCCTGCTTGCTAGCCCGGGCTCGCTATGCATCGAACATTATTACTCACACTGGGGGCCGCCCGCGCGCGCCTGCGCGCGCACACACTCACACACACATACACACACACATACACCACCACCACGACCACCACACCAGACCGCACGCTGACGCGGCCAGTGTTATCGATCTCCGTGGGCACAGCAAAGAGCCCCATCGGTCGATAACGACGGCAGGCAAGGTTGACAGCGCCGCAATGCTGTAGCGGTGGGCAGAATACGAATAACCTATCCGGAAAACCGATTAGTTCTCAATGAAACATTATATAATTCGAATTCAGACTGATCTGTCCTAATCTGTCTGCCGAAGTGAGTTCACCCATTTATTGTTGAAGTGGCTGCAACCCGTTTGTCCGAAGTGGTTCTATCCCATCTTTTTTAGTTTTAGTAGAGGTTGTACGGCGTTCGCAACTGCATGAGGTCATATGAGCGCCAGAAGATTAGAGGTGTTACAAGAGAGTAACAGACATAAAATAAGAAGAAGGGGAGAAAGGACGATAGATGTTTGATAGAAAAGAAGAGCCAACCACACCAGCGCACCTGCAAACCACCCACTCTATCCCATCTGCCGTGGCGGTTTATAAATTATAACACATTTGCCGAAGAGGTGCAACAGTATTATCCGGATTTTGCTCAAGCGACTCATTGCCCAGCCCTACAATGCTGTGGCTCTCCCCCCGTCTCCAGCGAGCGACCAGCGCCAGCCTATGACGGGTGCCCACACACGTAGAGATATAATACATGTACACCCAACACGCCCAGCACGCACCACCGGCATCTCAACGAAACGGTGCGTGCTTGTTCGTTGGCTCGTCAAGTTGACTGTTTTAGTTAGAGTTTTACGGCACTTGCAACACAATAACAACAAGGTCATATATACATTATATAAGAGCAAAAGATTAGAGGTGTTACAAGAGAGTACAAACACAAAAAAAGAGGAGGAGAGATAAGGACGATCGATGTTTGATAGGAAAGAAGCAAACCACACCAGACCAGAGCACCCGCCAACCATCCACATGCTCGCCAAGGGCAAAGCGGGGATGAATTAACCGCACCACAGATGTTGCGTTTACTTTCGTCTGAGTGAGAAGAGAGTAGTTTATTTTTATTTTTAGTAAGTGTTTTACGGCGCTCGCAACTGCACAGGCTCATATGAGCGCCAGAAGATTAGAGGTGTTACAAGAGAGTTACAAACATAAAAAAAGAAGGAGGGGAGATAAGGACGATAGATGTTCGATAGGAAAGAAGAAGCAAACCACACCAGAGCACCCGCCAACCACCCACGCGACAGAAACGACAGATGGAGAGTTAAGAAGAAGTAAATAATGTACCGTACGTCCCAACAGTGACACCCTAAAACCACCCGTTCAACAGGACCAAGATCACACACCGAAATAAATACTGGGGGGGGGGGGGGGGGGGGGGAGAGGGGGCGCAACCATAGGCATAGGAGCCACACGGTCAGATGCAAAGAAATAGTATTGTACATAAGTAATATATAATACTGGTTCACTTCAATTGCACGTATAGATTTGAAAAATACCAACATGCTGTTATTTCTAAACAAAAACAGGAAGACTTGACTTCGAACATTTTTAATTATTATTTATAACACTTAAACTGCACATTTTATTTCTACCGATCTTGTCTATCAACAGTATAATGTATCTGCCTCTTAGTGCAGGCACAGCTATGATGGAGCTGTCCTCCGTGGTAAAACAGACATGGGAACACACCTACGTGCGGTGTGACCCAGTTACTGTCCACAGTGTAAACGATGGATGCTAGTATGAGGGACTAGTCCAAAGCTGGACTGTGGGATATTTTGATCATTTGGAAAAGGTGAGAGACGCAGCTGGTATCGTCTCACTTTGAAAAATTGAGAACAAACTTAAAAGGAACCAAGAAAAATAGTTTTCAAAAGAGACTTGTTAAAAAAAAACAATTAACTAAAAATAAATTGCTGTTCAATCTGCATTACAAAAATATTATTGACAGGCAAAAATGGAAAAAGAAGTAGCAATATTTACTCATGCTGTCCACAATACAAATATTCTAAAAAATCCACTTCCCATTCAAACAAAAACAAAAGTGTGTTCCCTGCCTAAACATTGTGTGTGTTTGACTGATCATCTTCATATACGACACAATTACTCAATGGCAAAACGCGAGCTCTTCTTCATAGTCTTTTAAATTAACTTCTTCCAAATTGAGAAAACCTGCACAACACAAATTACGAAAGACCAAATTTGTCTTTTTACACACATGTACATCTATCAAACGACGTAAAGAATTCTGTTTGAAATTGTGAGACTTAGTTTTACTCTCTTCAATTTCTTAATTTACTTGATTTGTTTTTTTAATGAAGTATATCGGGTGCATATTTGAAACCAAAAATCTCAACAGTAAAAGATCATCCAACAGCTTGTTACAGAAAATCAAGAAAATATTGGACCAAAATTCAAAGAAGACTGCTGTTTTAGTACCGATATTTTATTATGCTGATGTTCTATCCATCTGCCATTTTTACTACGCTTCACCTAACATATTTTCAGATCAAATTTACTGCCCTGAAAACATATATTACAATAAATTAATGTATGATATCAGCACAACATGATATGAATTGTAAATGGAAAGGGCTTGTTCGTTTTTACGGAGAAAAAATAAAAATGTGAATCTATCTTATCAGCTTCTGGCCACAATTCAAAACTTCCCCGCAGCTCTTGTATTCACAAAAATTATCTCCTTATTGCGGGGAAAAAGATATCATGTAAGAACAAATCTAAATCAACCCATTGATTAATTTCCACGAGTCTTACTTGTAAATAAAAGTAGTCAAATTTGAAACCAGCACTGCATGTCATCACTTCGACTTCTGACGATGCCATAAAATTGCAAACAATGTATCTGCCTCTTAGTGCAGGCACAGCTACGATGGAGCTGTCCTACGTGGTAAAACAGACATGGGAACACACCTACGTGCGGTGTGACCCAGTTACTGTCCACAGTGTAAACGATGGAAGCTAGTATGAGCTGACTAGTCCAAAGCTGGACTGTGGGACCCAACAAAATTTTTAAAAAATAAAAGACAAAATGTACATGATTTATTAGTTTACCATACCACCCATTCTAAAACTCAAATATAGAGAAACCTGGATTTTTTAAAAGCCCAGTCATGTCAAAGCAGAGCATCCCATGTTATTTCATGTTACGTCATACACTTGTATCATTCATTGTCCCTGTAAACCTATGTGTTCACAGATGACATCATTATCTGCCATTTATGATCAATGAACTACACAGAGAAGTCTTTCTTCACCTAGCATACTCATTTTATTTGTGTTTTCAAAAATGCCTTACCTAATTTAGTCAGATGGCAGGATGTCCAGCAGAAAAGACAAAGGAAACATTAACTCACAAAAGACCTTTAATCTAATTGTCGACCCAACTTCAATGGTAAGATCAACGCAAGAAATAATTCTTTTTTTTTTAAATTCAGCACATTTCACCCGTAACGCCTTCAACAAAGAGCAATTTTATTTCAGAACATTCTCCTTTTACAACAATATCGCTGCGGCTTGAGTGACTGGTAAATACATCGACTGTGGTTATGACGCAGAGAAGACAGTTGATTGAAAGGGAGAACTGAATTATTATCACACTTAAATTTCCAAACTGCAAGTGAATGTTAAGGCTACAATTTACCAGCTTAGTTCCCTATTTTAAAAAAAAATGTTTTAATCCAATTTTTTTACCTTTCAAACTGAATTCCTCTTCAACAAAACCACATAACAACAGAACTAAACAACACACATAGAAAAATTACAAGAAAAGCTCCCATCAATTCAACAAAATGAAATACAGTCATAATTGTCTTAGACAGCAACCCATTGTCCATTGTCAGGGAGGAAAGTGGTTGCAATGTAACTGATTTTGAAAATTCTAAAAACGCACTTTGCTACGAGAAAGAAGCTATTAATATTTCTAATGATTTGAAAAACTTGGGCATTATTAAACATTGTTATACTTTGGGGTGCCCACAACAGCTGGATCGGGCCGATCGCCCAAAACTGAAAACAAACACGTTTGTTTTTGAGGTGATCGAGTCGGGCGATCGGCCGATCCCATCCGTAGTGGGCACCCCGTATTACAAGAGAGTAATTAACATAAAAAAGAAGAAGGGGAGATAAGGACGATAGATGTTTGGATAGGAAAGAAGAAGCAAACCACACCAGAGCACCCGCCAACCACCCTTGACTACATTCAAAAATCAAACACAATACGTATGACTTCTGTACATTCATCACGACAGTGAATGATAGTGTGAAAGAACCATAAATAACCGACGGATCTTATCAATCTTTATCTGAACACAGACAGCTTATCTGGTTCTAACACTCCTGATAATTTTTTATCTACAATCTTTGTTTCTCTTGTCTTATCTCTCCAATCCATGTCTATGACATGTTCATATTATACCAGTTGGAAGTTGTAAATCTGAACAAGACTTTTTTTGGGGGTCACTGTTACATTAAAAAGTAACCACTTTTGGATACATGTTTTACACTGTACCATTCCTGCCACTTTGAGTAATCCTCTGCACAAAACTTCATTTTAAAAAAAATAAATGTTCCTCCCACTGCAGGAACCATTGACCATCGTTAATTTATTTGTAGAGGCACCTGCCATCCGTGTCCAGGCACTGTTTTAGCCCTGCAGGAACCGACCGAACAATACTCACTGGTGTGAGGTTACAAAATTGTATATCATTATCCTACCTTTATTTTGATCAATGACTGATCTTCATCTCTTTTGTTAAAAAACCCCACAAAGTAAGGGTCTGGGTTTTTCAAAATTCAAATCAACTTTCTAAAAGTTGTCGATCACCAAGGTCTACCAGATACCTGCAGAAACGTGCTTGCACTCCTTTAACTTTTAGG